GTGAACACTGAAAATAGTCGCAGACCAAAAATAACCCACTGTCAACCTGTTCCAGCCCCTTTTTTTTTTGTTTCTCTGCACCAGCCTGATATTTTTAGGTTGTTCCATCTATTTTCAATATGTAAAAAAAAATTTATAATTTTAGGGGCATACATTCATTCAATTCTGCACATAGTAAAAAGAACCAAATTACAAAAATTGTGTCCAAATCACAAAGCTGATGTTGAGTTTTTGTGCAGTGAAACAAATGCTTAAATCACATTTTTTTCTCCTCATTTTCTAACCTTATTCTTTATATACTAAAAAAGTTCAATTTCCAGAAATGTTGCATTCCATTGCATTGTCTTCTTAATGAACTAATAACGACCAAAATACTATTCTTTGCTGTCGATCTATAGATCCCTGCAAAGAGTTTAGAGTCATTTATCAAATTATTATGCACCAATGTTCTCAAGTTCTGAGTCGACCATTGGTGCTTATATAAAGTCCATCCATCCATCCATCCAGCCATCCATCCATCCAGCACCATCTATTTATGGATACATGTATACTCTACACACACACACACACAGCACTAACAATCACCTCAGCCTATTGTAGATCTTGAGTGTGGAATGTGTGGTTAAGCGTGTTGTGGGCGAACAATGCTGTACATTTAGAACCCTCATCTCTCTCTCTCTCTCTGTTGAGCGCTCTCTCTCTCTCTCTCTCTCTCCCTCCCTCTCTCTATCGCTCGTTCCCTTCCAGTGCAGCAGCACACAGACACACTCAGAAACACACACCGCCTCACACACTCTCCCTCAGTGAAGCTGTGCTTCTGATACAGGTTGTAGATGTTCTGTGTGTGTCAGCGCTGGGATGTTTAGACTTTTAGCTTCACCTTCCACCTCCGGCTCCGCTCACTGTTTCCCGCGCGCATCACTGAAGCTCATTCTCCTCCAAAGTAGGAGAACTGGCAGATTCCAACACTCATTCCTTGTTTTTTTTTTTCTTTCTCCAGATTTCATTTTGATTCTACTTCATTCTTTTCTTTTACAGGATAACTGTGCCCGAGTGCTGCTCGCTCGAGGATCCGACAAAGAAGTGAAAAACTACAACAGCCAGAGTCCGTTTCAGGTACAGTGAATTCACCGTGCACTCACACTTCTTCTCTTACTTCTGGGTTTGTGAGTAATCATAGCAGTATGTAGATTCTGGTTTAGTTAAAGTAAAAGTACATATTTTATCCGGGAAAAATAATTCTTGCCCCCATTTGTCGTCATGGCAACCGTGTGACAGAATGGTTCAGGGTCAGATGGAACTGGGGACTGAAGCGTCTTTACAACCAATATTAGATTTGTTTGGTTGGAGGACAGAGAGTGAAAGTTGAAGATTGACTAAAAAAAAAAAAACAGAAACATAAAGTACACATTTGGTTCCTGTGTATGTGTGCGTGTGTGTGTGTGTGTGTGTGTGTGTGTGTATTAAGGCTGATCAACGATGTGCAAAGCTGCAAATGAAACACTCTGGAATTGCATAACTGCTGTTCTAAAATAGACATTGTCCACCAGCTCTGACTGTGTGTTGGTGTGTTTGCTGATGTAATTTCTTGGAGCATCTTCACACTGAAGAGAAAATCTGTCAACCAAGAGTTGTACACTGTAGTAATTGATTTCAGTTTCTTCGCTGTAATAAGTTGACAGTTCACAAATCTCTCTTATTCTTATTCTGACTTTCTGGTTTTTGGAATGTCAGCAAATATTTTCCTCGCTGTTATTTGTCCTGAGTTTTTCTTCTCTGGACTAAAACAAAAGTCGGTTAAATATTTTGATGACACAGAGGGGGTTATAGGGTAGTTTAAATATATCTTTTTATTTACAGCATCTTTTGGTTTTTGATTGTCCTATTTTTTATCTTATTGTCTGACCTGACCTGAGTTAGCCCCAAACCTTTCTAAAAAAAAGATGTACTGCCTTGGTCAGTATTAAATAGGAACAAAAGAACCTCTCCTGTCACCTTTACAGAACAAGCATAAAGTCATCAACCTAAATTCTTAATAAAAATATGTTTCTCTTTAGAGAGATCATTCTGGAATGTAACTTTAGGACATATTGTGTACTTTTTCTCTATTTTCTTGGAAAAAAAATCTTATAGTAAATGACAAAAAAATCTAAATAATAATAATAATATCCAATAAAATCCATCATTTAAATACATGTAAAAATCATTACTAAACCACATATTTTGGAATTCATATGAGTTAAACATCTATCTAAAGGTTGCTAAAAATCTCAAGGTTGCTAAAAAAAAATCCAAATCTGCAAAAAATGGAAGTTCTATCTGTGAATGCGTCTGTGAATCGTGTTTAAGCTGCTGTTCCTGCTGTGCAGCATCTCGTTCACAGAGTCAGAAAGACTTCAGCAGCAGTAAGAGTTTACTCTCTGCCATAACCGCCTTAAATCCAGCGCCTAGTCTGGCAGAGAGAAGGCCGTTTTCATGCAGGCACTCATAAAAGGCTGTCCCACTGGGTCCTCGGCTGTCCTCCACAGCTACACTCCAGTGGCACGCTCTCGGCGTTGGCGTTAGCCTCTAGCTTCACTTCACTTTTGAAGCTTCGTTTTGGTTTCAGTGCAGCTTCAATCATGTACTGGCGCCTTCCACTGTAGCCCAGCTGTCGAACTAGACTGGATTCAAAGTAGGCGGACCGCAGTTGTTACACATTAGCTTGTTATTGGAATTAAAAAACAAACAAGATTTTGTTCATGTAGATTTGCACATTTCTAAACATTTCAAATGCTAAATGAAGTTTCCTTAGTCTTAGGGGGAACACATGTTCATGTTCAACACTTTTTTGGCTTGGAATCCACTATTCAAACGACCAGGTGAAAATGATTCACCTACATTGAAAACATTAAATATATTGAGTCACCTACATTGAAAACATTAAATATATATTTACTCATATAAAACTTTATACTTTCATTCAAATTTCTCATGGTCTACCAGCTCACTACAAGATCACTCTCTACATTTGTCACCCTGGCTTTAGATATCGATGACAGTGAAGAAAAACATAGTGATTTACTTGACACCTCCATTCACCAAATCATCTAAAAATGAATAATGATAAAGGTAAAATGTTAAGTATTGATCTCACAGCTATCTGTTGTGAAGATAAAAAAAAAGACTTTTTTTATCCCACACTGGGGAAATTCAGTAAAAATGTCTTGCATTGGCCGGGAATCGAACCCGGGCCTCCCGCGTGGCAGGCGAGAATTCTACCACTGAACCACCAATGCTTGTGAACAAACTCAGTGTCTCAGTAGTAAAAGTTATGGCACAAATAGAAATGAATACTTCTTAGGCCTTTATTAAAGCTAAGCCTCCGTCACTGTAAAGAACGGACGATGAGGTGAGACGGTGTAAGACGGACTCTCTCAGATTAACAAGGCCACGGCTTCTTGTCGAAAGATCGACACAAACGTGCCCAGAAATCAAACAGAAGCTCAGTTCTCCACACACAGGAGCAACAATCCAGTGGATACTGGCTCTGGACATTCACTTGTTTTTGAGAGGAACAACTCGCTCTTTTGCTCTTTCTATCTTTATCACCGTTCACTCTCCACCCACACAAGAAGCCAAGAGCTGAATCCAGCAAGTTTATGCCTGCTTTCTGAGTGCTCGGCATTCTGGGAAAGGCAGGAGATCACTGACTGAAGTGGAAGCAGATGAGAGGAAAAAAGGGTCGGTGCATCTGAAGCGCAAGCTGGAGCACCAACTGTGGTCTGCGTGAATGTGGGGAGCGTCAGAAATACAGTGAGGGAGAGTCAAGTAGAGTATGCAGACACCATGTACTGCACGTCATTTTGTGGCGGTCGTCCATTTTTTACCCATTGGTCTGTTGTGATGACAGCTGCCCTGAACCTGGCTGCAGAGATCTGCAACAGACACAACAGTCCTGGTGGGCAAACAGAGACTTAGGTCAAAGTGCGCTTTGTTATTTAACAATGGTTTGGTGAACACTGCTTCCAAACTTGGGCGTAGAATTTAACTGTTTTTAAACCAAGTTGTTGAGATTGACTCTAAAAAAAGCAACGTGTTCAGGTTGAGATAAGATGGAGATAAAAAAAAATGAGTCGTACTTGTTTATCTTTGTCCTTATAGATCTTATAGAAAAAGAAAACTCAACGAATTCATGAAAAAAAAATCCAGCTCTGTAATTTTATTGTTATTTTTCTTTATTGAAAAGTAGGTCAAAGGTCGTCCAGCTCTGTAATTTCTGTCAATCTTTATTGAAAAGTAGGTCAAAGGTCGTTTACTGTAGCTTCAGGTAGACACAACAGATTTGTGTTGGCGTCGTTATTTTAAGAGTCTCACGGTAGTTTTGTTTGTTATGGCAATTATTAGTGTTTTTTTTAGGTGGACTTTTATAAGTGGAGTTTTGACATTTATTCAGAGCTTTTTTTCTACATGTGAACTGCAATTCTCTAACAAGAAATGAAGATAGAAGGCCAAATGTGATCGCTAAGTACTTAAGATGTAGTCCTAAGTAACTTGGGATACATTAGTATACATTAATGCTTTCTGTAACTGGACCACTTTGAGTGATCGGGGCGTGATCACAGTTTGTCTCTCACAAGGTTTTTTAATACCCGATACGTAGTCTTCGAACACAAATTTGAATTCATTACTTGTTCAACAAAAAGGTTTTGTTCCAGTGGCTTAGATCAGTGTTTCCCAAACTGTTTTTCTGGGGACCCATATTTTAAAAGTCACAAACCTTCACGACCCAAGTCAATAGACATTATTCATAAACTCCTGGGAAAAAAATCTCTTGCAACCCACCTGAGGGCCACGACCCAGGCTTTGGGAAACAATGCCTTAGAACATTTTGTTTACCAAAAGTGAAGGTCTGTGATCCCATTTGGTTTACCAAAAGTGAAGGTCTGTGATCCAAACTTGAATTCTTTACGTTGCTTTACCTAGAGAGTTGAATAGCCAATCAGCCAGATACTGTAGCTCTGGACTGTGACAGTGTTGAGGTCATTAACAATTGTTGCTCATGAATAATCCCACTTTATATCCCACTTTATTTGTGCTCGTAATTGAACCCGGCGTGATCATGTGTGCAAAGAGAGCTACCTACTCTCTCACTGTGAAAGAAATCAAACAAAAAGCTGTAAATCACAGACATTAATTTGAACTGAATGAGCGCTACGCTTACGCTTACGCTGCTCTTAATTTTTTTAGCGCGTGGGTGGGCGGCCGTACCATCTGATGGTATCATGTCGTGTGTTTGTGCGTTCGCCGCAGGTTTGCCCCGAGAAGCACACCGAAGGAAGGAGTCGAATATGAGTTGAAGCAAAAAAAAAAAAAAAAAAGACTCCCATCATCTTTTCCCGCCTTCTTCTCTATATGAAGAGCTTTGAGAAGATAAAGAATTCATTTTCTTCACGGAACCGTCCC